ACTACGACTACTACTACTACTACTACTACTACGACTACTACGACTACTACGACTACTACGACTACTACTACTACTACGACTACTACTACGACTACTACTACGACTACTACTACTACTACTACTACTACTACTACTACTACTACTACTACTACTACTACTACTACTACTACTACGACGACGACGACGACGACGACTACTACTACTCATCTTCCTTAGCGTTTGGCCTTCTGTATCTCGAGGGCTTGCAGTGGCTAAAGTGCCGCTGGCATGGAGCTTCGAAACGGGATGCTTCAGCACCCTGGTAACGACCTCGGAGCGGCGGATCATACGAGCTGCGCACCCCCGTCAGGGACCCTTTCAAGAAAGGCCCCTTTTATCGCAGATCGGAGTAGCCCAGGGAATGGTCCTCCTCCTCCTCTTCCTGCTCCTGCTACTGCTCCGCCTCCTCCTCCTCCTTGCCCTCCTCGCCGTGCCCGCGCGCAGGTGGGGGCGGGGGGGGGGCGCCCCGTCGTTCAGCGCCTCGACGGCGGCCTCGGCGCGCCGATAGCGAGGGGGGGGGGAGGTGCGGTGCGGCGCGATGCGGCGCGGGCGCGGCAGCGCGGCCCGGCGAGCTGCCCTACCCCGGGCGCGAAAGCTCGGAACGTCAGCCATTCTCCCCCTCCCCCCTCAATCCTCCAGCCTCCTCCTGCTTCCCCCCTCATCCTCCTCCGCCTCCTCCTCGGCGTTTGGCCCGCTGTTTCTCGCCCTCCCCGTCCCTCTCTCCTCCTCCGTCCCCCTCCAACCCGTTTTGCTTCCTCCTCCGTCCATCTCCTCCTCATCTTCCTCCTCCTCTTCCTCCTCCTCCTCCTCCCTCCTCCTCTTCCTCCTCCTCCTCCTCCTTCCTCCTCCTCCTCCTCCTCTTCTCTTCCTCCTCCCCCTCCTCCTCCCCCATCATCCCTCCTCCTCCCTTTTTCCTGATTTCGACCGCAGTCCCGCCACCGCTGCGCTGGCGCGGGCTCCCCCCGGGCAGACACGGGGAAGCTTGGAACGACCGAAACAAAAAAAACCCGCGGACTGCACGCAACTCGGCGCCCCCCGCAGCGCGTCCATCTCCTCCTCCTCCTCCTCCTCCTCCTCCTCCTCCTCCTCCTCCTCCTCCTCCTCCTCCTCCCCCCTCCCCCTCCTCTCCTCCTCCTCCTCCTCCTCTCCTCCTCTCCTCCTCCTCCTCCTCCTCCTCCGCCTCCTCCTCCCCCCACTCCTATCCCTTTCGATCAGGGTCGGCGGCACCGGCCGTCAGGCCTCTCCAATAAAGACCCCGCGGACTGCACGCAACTCAGCGCCCCCCGCAGCTCGTCCATGGGACGGCCCATGGCGCGAGGCGTGCGGGGAGTGCGCTGGACGCCCGCTGGGGTCTGCGCGCTCTTCTCCTGTGCCTCCGTCGACTGCTGGTTCCTGGCCCTCCGCGGGGCCAAGGTGCCTCCTCCTCCTCCCTCTTCTCTCCTCCTCTGGTGATGCGATGGCGCCGAGGTGAGGCGAATGGTGAAGAAGTGTGCGCTCGCACAACTTCAAGAGAGCTGGAGCACTTCTGGTGGACAACAGCTAGTTGCTCATATGTGCGCTGGAAAGCGAAGCCGTGAAATGGTTCAAAGCCGCTGGATGTGGAAGGATTTCGACACGCGCGCGTGGCGGCGCGCGCATGTGGCCCGCATCGTATGATGTGCGACGGATTCATGCACTGGGCGCGTGCTAGATCAACGCGGATACACCACGTGGTAATATGATAATTCGGCTATACGCAGGAGTGACCCTGGGTAAGAGTGACCTTTGGTGCGCGACTTTTTGGGGGCCCTGGGGGGACCAAACCTGGGCGCGCAAGCAGCTGCTGCTGCTTCGTTTCCAGCGCTCTGGGGACCCATCTGTGCCCGCACCAAAGGTCACTTCGGCGAAAGGTCACTCTTACGTCTAGTCGAATAATGCGGGCTGTGGACGATGTTGCTAACATCCTCTGCTCTCTTTTGACTCCAGCAGGGGTGCGTGGACAGACCGTACACCATTGTGATGTTGAGATGATTGCAGAAGCCATGTGTGTGTCGTAAGGTCTCGCCATGTGCGCGCTCATGTAGAATTTTCTGGTTTCGGCTGTCAAGCCTCATTGCGTGCGCGTGTGAGCATGAAATATCAAAAGGGGGCCGATACCGGCCTGACCGGGATTGCATGGTTTCGTATGAGAACACATGATTCAGCACAACCGCATGTGACTTGAATAATCCCTTGTGGAATCGACAAGTACGGGCTCGGAATGGTGGTGAAGTCTGTCTTCTTCTGAAGGGAGCATACACGTGGTGCAAGCACTGTGGTGCAAGCTACATTGTGCAATATCTGTGGTGCAAACTCTGTGGTGTCAGCTAGGTGGTGCAAGCTATGCGGTGCACGCTATGTTGTGCAAACTGCGTGGCGCACGCTGCGTGGTGCAGATTATGTGGCGCAAGCTATGTGGTGCAGGCCATGTGGTGCAAGCTGTGCGGTGCAGGCTATGTGGTGCAACTAATAGTTGACCGCCTTGAAGCTGTCCTCTCCACTGCTCGTGCAAACATCCCACCCTCCCACCCGCAACTTGGTCGCAAGACCTCTTAAGACAAGACCTTGACGGTACGTACCACATGACACTTGGCCACGACACCGACGCCGACGACGACAGCGACAACGACGACGACGGCGCCGCCGACACCGACTACGACGACACCGACGACGTCTCCAACGACTTCGACGACAACAACGACGACACCGACGACGACGACGACGACGTCAACGACGCCGACGACGACGACGACGACGACGACGACGACGACGACGACGACGGCGACTATGACGACACCGACGACGACTCCGACGACTTCGACGACGACAACGACGCCGACGACCGAACAAGCCGACGAAGACGACGGACCGACGTCGCCAAGGAAGACGCGACGAGGGAGGAGGAAGGACGACGACGGCGATCAAAACGCCAACGACCGCGACGAAGACGAGGTAGGAGGAGGACGGCGACGACGAACGACGAAGGAGGAGAAAGGACGGCGCGCCGCGAACGACAACGAACGAGGAGGAGGGAAGACACGACGACAACGGCGACGCCGACGACGGCGACGAATAGAGGACGACGACGAGACGCCGGAAAAAACCCGACGGACGACGACGACGACCGACGAGGGAGGAGGAAGAATGACACCACGCAACAACGAAACGACGAAACGACCAGCGAGACGACCCAACTTAAACCTGAGCTAGTGAAAAGCAGGAAAGCCAGAGACAGAGGACGACGTAGGCGACGTCGACGACGACGCGGGAGGAGGGAGGACGGCGACGACGACGACGACGACGCATGAGCGCGCGCGCACGCTTTTGTTGAACATCCGTGTTGCGAAACCTTGGGTTTTTGTAAGTTTTTTGGAGACACGATTTTGAAATCCTTCCGAAACCGATGGGTTTTGAAGGTTCTCGGCATACGCGCGCGACGACGCGCGCGTCTGCACTTCGTCTCATTTGTTGCAAAGGATTCTCGCGACGGCACACGCGCAAGGGCGTTCGACAGATTTCGACATGCGCGCGCGCGAAGCCCGTTTGGTAGCATTTTGTGAAAATCTTGAAAAACCTATGGTTTTCTTAAGATTTCGCAAGAGCTCGCGCGGAAACTTTTTTAGCAAATCAGTGTTGCGAAACCATGTGTTTTTGTATGTTCTTTGGAAACTCGATTGCGAAATCCTTCCGGCACCGAAGGTTTTTGAAGGATTTCGGCATGCGCGCGCGACGACGCGCGCGTGTGCACTTCGTCCCATTGGTTGCGCGGGATTCGTGGAAAAGAACTATGTTAGAACAAAACATGTCACCGCAGAGCGCTTTTTCCCAACCATCCTGTGGTGCTGGGTCCTCGTTTTGAAGAGACGGTGCCCCGCGTTCCTCTCCTCTCCTCTCCTCCTCTTCCCCCTCCTCCCTCCTCCCATCAGCATCATCATCATCATCATCGTCATCATCATCATCGTCATCATCATCACCATCGTCATCACCCACCAACATCGTCATCATCACCATCATCGACAATTCCTCTCACCACGTTCGTGGCCCCATAGGGAGCTCCACCGAAGGCCCCCAGTGCTGCCGCCCGCAGCGGCAGCCCCCACCCCATTCCGGCATAACCCCTCACGAAAGTTTCGTGGCCCCATAGGGAGGCTCCACCGAAGGCCCAGTGCCGCCGCCCGCAGAGCACTCGGTGACCCAGTTTTTCGGCACCCAGCCTCACACAGATTTCCGAGTGGCCCCATAGGAGCTTCACACCAAAGGCCCCAGTGCCGCCGCCCGCAATGCGCAGCCACACCTAATTCGGCACACCCCGCACACGCTTCGTGCCCCCATAGGGAGCTCCACCGAAGGCCCCAGTGCTTGCCGCCCGCATGCTCAAGCCACATCCAGTTTTCGAACACAAGGAAGACACACAAAAAACCCCTCACACGTTTCGTGGCCCCATAGGGAGCTCCACCGAAGGCCCCAGTGCTGCCGCCCGCATGCGACAGCCACACCCAATTCGACACACCCCTCACACGTTTCGTGGCCCCATAGGGAGCTCCACCGAAGGCCCCATGGCTGCCGTCCGCATGCGTCCCGCACACCCAGTTCGGCACACCCCTCACACGTTTCGTGGCCCCATAGGGAGCTCCACCGAAGGCCCCAGTGCTGCCGTCCGCATGCGTCCCGCACACCCATTTCGGCACACCCCTCACACGTTTCGTGGCCCCATAGGGAGCTCCACCGAAGGCCCAAGTGCCGCCGCCCACATGCGTCAGCCACACCCAATTCGGCACACCCCTCACACGTTTCGTGGCCCCATGAGGGGGCTCCACCGAAGGCACCAGTGCCGCCGCCCGCATGCGTCAGCCACACCCAATTCGGCACACCCCTCACACGTTTCGTGGCCCCATAGGGAGCTCCACCGAAGGCACCAGTGCCGCCGCCCGCACGCGTCAGCCACATTCAATTCGGCACACCCCTCACACGTTTCGTGGCCCCATAGGGAGCTCCACCGAAGGCCCCAGTGCTGCCGCCCGCATGCGTCAGCCACACCCAATTCGGCACACCTCTCACACGTTTCGTGGCCCCATAGGGAGCTCCACCGAAGGTCCCAGTGCTGCCGCCCGCATGCGTCAGCCACACCCAATTCGGCACACCCCTCACACGCTTTCGTGGCCCCATAGGGAGCTCCACCGAAGGCCGCAGTGCCGCCGCCCGCATGCGTCAGCCACACCCAATTCGGCACACCCCTCACACGCTTCGTGGCCCCAGCCCGCATGCGTCAGCCACACCCATGTCGGCACACCCCTCACACGTTTCGTGGCCCCATAGGGAGCTCCACCGAAGGCCCCAGTGCCACCGCTCGCATGCGTCCCGCACACTCATTTCGGCACCTCCACCAAACACAGCGTTTCGCGGCCCCACAGGGACCTCCACCGAAGGCCCCAGTGCTGCCGCCCGCATGCGTCACCCCCACCCCAGCACAGCATTT